AAATTAAAGTTTCAAAAGACACTCATATTCCATGACAGATGTTAAAATTTTCCATGTTTTGGAACATTTATATGTCGAAAAGAAAACGTACTTTTGAACTAAAATTTTCAAGACATTTTACTTAGAGACCGAAAATGAACCAAACTCGAACTGGTTTTAAGAAAACAAAAATGAATCTTATCGAACTTGAAACAGTGAACCTTGGTTCAAGTTGGCTTCTAATTCTATTGACAAATAGACTTGTTTGTGAGCAAAACTCCATATCAGAATACCGTCATTCTGTTTGTTAGTACATATCCAGCCAGAAGCGAAAATTCAAGTACAATGTCTATAACTCTTTATAGAAGATTTAATAGTACGTATTCTTTTGAAGTTTTCGTATTTCAGTAGGATCTACTTTACGCACAGAGTCTGAAGTCAAAAATGATTGATCAATTGAAAACATTGTCTTGTAAGACTGAGGTAGACCATAGTTAATATTCGGTCTTTTATTTCAAAAACAAAAGAATCATCAACTGTTACCTTCAATTTTTTGACTAAATTTCGTTAATGTATGATAAATTTCTTTTAAAATATCTTTTTGTTCGTTGGAATTTATTGTTTGTTGTTGTGAAGATAATTGTAAACGAGCAATATTACTAAATGGTATTTTATTCATTTTATTAAGAATGTAAATATAAATTATAAATTCTCTTAACCATTGTAATTGTTTTGAATCAGTAAATATATTTTGACATGTTAACCATGATGATATTTGTTGTGATTGTAAATAGCCAATAAAATAAAATATAATATCACATACCCAATTAATTAATAATGTAAATGATATTAATTGATAATGATTTGGATCTATTGGATTTATTTCATTTACTATTGTTTGATCACCTAAATATTTTATTCGTTTAACATCAATATTTTGTATAAATGATGTTTGTTGTAAAATTTCTTGTGCAGCATCAACAAAATTTCGATTTGTTGGTTCATATATAAATAATCGAAGATAATCTCGTACAACTAATAAAACATAATAAATAAGTAAAGTTATTAAATGTTCACAACTCTCTTTTGTAAATGGACGGACAAGACGATGTAAATGATAAAGACATTCTTTAAAACGAATAAAATAAAGACGTTTAAATTCAAGGGATTGTGATTCATAATTTATTGCTAATCGATCAATAAGTTGATTTATTATTGAATTACTTGGAATAAGACATAAAGTATCCCATATATCACATGGACAAAATATTTCGACAATATATTGTTCAAATAAATGAACAAGAATATTAAGCATAGATGATGACAATAATGCATCATTGAGACATACTGTACGAAGAAGAGCAATATTGCCATTTTGTGTAAAACCAACACAACATAAACCTATTTATAACAAAATCTTATTTAATTCGTAATAGAGATGCACGGTTTACTTTACTCTCTCTTTTAAGATAAGATAAAGGCAGCGGGTCTCCAAAGTAAAATAAAGATCAAAAGGTTTTTCTTACTGAGGACACAAGATACGATAAAAGGGTTATTCCGTACATATCTAACATGATACTAGTTTGCTATTTATCACTTTTAGAGTCTCTTAACAAGGATACGAGTAAGAGAGAGTGAGATGAACACTTCATAGAGTAGAGCAAGGTTTCCAATTGTTTTTAAGAGTGAAAGTAACTAAAAATTGGGCAGAAATTGTCTTCGTTCGTTTTTCAAGCAGAAGACATTGAACTCACTGATTTTGTCATGATAAATCGAAACTACTGAAATTCGCGTTCCGTTACAATTTCCCACGAGACTGTAAAATATTTTGCAGAAAGTTTGACATTTTCGGAACGGTAAAGCTCCTGCTATTGCTTTTGTAATCGATAACTCTGAGCTAGAGACTTTGCTGAATAGGGTAAAAGTTAGATAATTCATCTCGATCAGAGCATAGAGTACGAAAAGTATTTATCCTGCTTATTTTTACTATATGATGTTAGGCTTATTTTTTTTTTTGAATTCTAGTGAAAGTTTATAGACAACAGAAATACTTAACATTGTTTATCCATAAGGCAAAATCGAAAGGATTTCTATTAACAATTTTATTGTTTATAGTATACAATTTTGAATCCTGTAAGTGTTGTTAAATAAAAGTAGTCATTGAATCTAAGCATAATCTTCTATGTTTTACATTAATTTTTCTGACTTTTCTTTTTTCAAACGATTTTAATATCTTCTCATACCAGAATATGTATGTTGAATTCGAATAAAAAAATCTGATTGATAAACAGATGAATTAGTATTATTGATTGGAAAACATCGTTCTCGAGATGTAAGATTTAATTTATCAAAACAAACTGTTGAACCATCATTGAATGTCACTAGGATTTGTCTTCCGAATAAACCTTGATAATTATTATCTTGAATTAATAATTGATTTGGTGATAATGATATTGATGTAATACGTGTTTTAGATGTATTTAACAAAGTTACTGATATCCATTCTTCTTGTTCAATATTATATTCATAAATATCAATTAAATCATTATTTGATGATATCATATGTGTAAGAATACAATCATGTCCATTTCGTTGAAAATAAAATAATGATTCAAGTTTTCCATAACATGATGGAATACGAAAACCACGAGTTCGATAAGATATGAAAGATAATTTTGGTTCCAATGAAGCATAATTCACAACAAACAAATGAACAAGTGTACCTTTTTCATGTTCACTAAGAATAACATTGAAACCTTTATCTGTAGGATATATATCACATAGAGAAACACAAAGTGGTTCACGTGTAGAAAGAGAATAACTGGATGGAGATAATGAACAAATAAGTGGTAATGTATGAATCTAAATTAATTTACCAAAAAAAACAAAAGATTCTATCAAATAAATTCTATTAGAACTTACTATACCAGATGTTGTAACGCATACAAAATTACCAGAATTAAGAGCATATTTCAATAATGGTGATGAAATATTTATTTTTTCATAAAACGATTCATTTCTATCAAGATTAACTATTATCTAAGAAAATTAATGCATTAACTATAATAAATTCATTTTTTTTTCTACAAAACTAACTAATTCTCTAGGAAAAATATATTTTGCACAAAGAATATCTTCATGTGTTTCATATTGATATACATTATCCATTGTATTAATACAATCGTTCTAAATGAAATAAAAATCATTTGATTTATATTATACATGTATACAAGGTGACTCATAAATAGGACTACAATTGAAGAATTGCATAATTTCTACTGCGATTCGCTCGAATGGGCTTATTTTTCGGTGAGTGGTAGACGCTTATTTGAAGTTTTTTTTTTCATATGGATAACATAAACCAATAATCCTCTTCGCAGCGTACATCTACACAAACATCTGGCTAAAAATGAAAATCATGTTTGTTCAAGATAAAAGAAAAATATAGTTTATTTAATAGTATCAATAAATTTGTTCTAACTCTAAATGAAACTAGAAAACTTAATGCTCCAAAATTAGTCTGATAATCAGGAAAATTAATATCTGGCAAAATTAAACTGTTCCGCAGATACATCAAGCCCATTTGCTCAATCACTAAATCGAGCTCTATACAATGATAAAAAAAATTATTTTTTTCACGATGTCATCTAAATGGCTAGTCTAATGAAATGAGTAATCCATCGATACCAATGGTATTGATATTGATCATATTAGGGATTATGACATATCTACGCCAAGCCTAAAAGTTCCTAACATCGAATAAGTTGGTTCCGTTTTGAGAATAGCGCTTCTAGATACAAAAAAGACTTTGTTCTATTATTAGAAACTTTTGAACATGATATTTTAGAAGTACAGTGGCAGGTAGTATATGTATTACAGTTAAAAATAATGTGGACAGTTTGGCATTCATTAATTCTAATGCAAATAATGTCAAGGTATTTAGGTTAGTTCTAATACTAATTTTAGTCTGACATCTCCAATTTGCTCCATGTGCATCAAAATAGTATCCTTCATAAACTTTGTCTTAACTTCTTATTCTCTTAGATGACAATTGAAAACTATCTATGAAACACTACACATGTATTTTTCTTACTTAATACCAGATGAATTTACTTTTATATGATACCAACAATAATACTTGATAATAATTATGTTCATGCTATTAATATAAAACAAAAACATTAAATAAACTTCTACCACTAAGAAAAAAATCAGCCTATTTAATGAATCGATATGAAGATATTTTTTTTTTCATTGTAGTGCCATTTATAGATCATCCTGTAAGGTCGCTATACCTGCATTTTAAATATTTGACAAACTCCTGCTTGATTACATACAAGCAAATGTGTACCATCAAGACTCCAAACAAGTTGAACAATTGGTAAATATGATGTCGTAATTAAACTAAAATTCCATGGTTGTTCAAGTGAACAAATATAAACACAAAATGATGATTGTGCTGTTTGATGTAAAGATCTATGAACAGTAGGCGAAAACAGAAAAAAACAACAACACATCATAATAAGAAAAAACTAACGAAAATTATTTACGATGAAATGATTTCAGGACAATTTTTTTGTTGTTTTAATGGAGATAAATAATTACATGAAAAACAAAGAATATTAAAACATGATATATCCATTTTTAATATTTGTTTTAAATCTTCACCATCATTTGTCATTTTTACATCAACGGTATAAACGATCTCCATGATAAAAATAATCTAAAATTAAATCTCAAAAAGGAATAACTATGCAATATTTCATTCGTTTAATTTAGTAGCAAATCGTTTTTGACGTTTGAAATTTCCTACTCTCTGTCATTTGTAATCAACACAGTAATATGCGCCACCTTTCATTCTAGTTTAATCATTGCCTCAAAAAGATTAGCCAATAGCTTGCTTTTTTTTCTGTCGTGAACCAGAATTGTACCGAAAGATTGTAACCTAATCGAGTTCGAATTTAAGAAAAAAAAACATCATTTTATTTTTGCTTTTGCTCATGTCAGTTGTTAGTTAATCAATGTTACGCCAAGCTTGTCTTCTTTATCGTGTGTATCATCCAAATTTTATTCGACAAACCCTCGTTCCTTTAAGTACTAGTACTCGTTATTTTGCTGAATCAACCAGTACAGGAAAATCAATAAATGAACCTTCAAAAGAAAATATAACGGGAAAAAAATCATTTGATAGTGTTCGTAAGTTAAAATTTATATTTCCATATCTCTAGTTCATTATTTGGTTTTTCTTTTAGCTGTACATCTTGGTTCTTTTGCAAAAGTAATTATGGTTTTAGGTGGACTTTACGGACGTTATCGTGACGTTCCTGATACAATACCGTATGTTACAATAAATATTTACGTATAATAACTAATTATGAAATCTATTTAGTAATCGTGCATATCAAAGAACAAAAGATCGATTTCGAGCACGTTGTGTTGTTGCCTCTCTATTTGGTACGGCTCTTCTTGCTATTGTAGCAGCAATGCGTGGCAAAAGTGCTGCTAAAGAAGGCAAACGATACACAGATAGTGTTTATGAAATGCATCGTGGTGGATCACGATTACATGAACAATTAGAAACAATACATAATCGTGGAAAACGTTCAGAACGATATTCACCACCGGTCGATGAAATCAATAAATAATTACAAAATGGGCTATCAATGGTCATAAACTGTTTAGCCACTTTTTTCTTTCACCTCTTTGGTACAGAACATTTGGATACTAATTAAATGTTGTGTCTTTTTTTTAAGAAGGGGTCTGTTTACCCGTATTATTCCTTATGATTAGAGATATACCAGTATTCTATTTCCTTTCTTTGACTATGAAAATATTCACAGACAAAAGAAAACTTTATTACAGCGGCTATTTTATTGAATTGAATTAGTTTTGCATTTTTTTTGTGTCATTATTTAAGAGAAAGATAACTAAAGTGAATATGGTAAAATATTGTATAATCTAGAATAGGCTTAATACTGTTAATTTGGCATATGGTATTTTCTTTTCTGAGTTTTTTTCTTCGATAACATGATATATTATTCATGCATGGTAGTTCAAAGAAGAAGCTTCTTCTTTAATAGATACAATCAGAAAGATTATAATCAGATTTTAATGTTTTTATTTATATTACTAGAAATGAAATTAGATTTCTTTTCGTTTTATTTTGAATAATTACTCTTATCAATAAATAGATTTATCACTTAGACTAGCCCATTGGGGCTGAAAGTGTGTGGTTGCTAATGAAAACCCTTCTAGCAAAAAATTTCAACACGATGCGTCAAACTACACTGAACTTTGACGAATTATTTATAGACTTCAAAAGAATCTCTATAACTTCATAATTACAAGAGATACTGAGCTTGATGCGATATTAAATGAAACTGAATACCTATGGGCAGTTTTTGTCTCAAGAGAATGTTGAAATTCGCTTTCATTCCTTCTTTTTTCATGCATTTTAGTAGATATGGTGTTACAAAAGCATGTGTAAAGATGACAATACGATATTAAACTTCACTTTTCTCAACACAAAAAAAAAACAACCAGAAAAAAATCTCGTCGAAAAAATGTTTACATCCATTTGAATCTTAAAGAAAATATTGGTTATACCTTGAATCTGGTGGAAAGAGTTTTGAATTTGCCTGATTGAAAGTCATGTTCGAAGAAAAACTTAGTAAAATGGCATATTCATAATATATTTAAGTAGAATTTTTAAAAGTACATGATAGATGGCGTAATTAAGCAACATCTGTCATGCTGAAATTATTCATTAAATGCTGACGCAAATAAAAAGATAGACATGCCTTAAAATTTTTTTTTTCGAAAAACAGAACACCATGGTCGAAAGTCTGTTCAAATTTGATTTTTTGCTGAAAAGTCATATGTTCTGAGAGAAGGAATTTCAATGTATCTTCCTGTGAAATAAACTCAACTTCGATTTGTTTTTTGAAAAAATAGATTTTCTGAGATAGGGAAGGATTAAATCATTTATTATATATTAATTGATGAGATTTAGCCAAGATATGTGATGATGAAGAAATAACTTTTGAGGATAGTATATCTATTTCTTTTCTTGTACAATATCTCTTGTACAACTCAAAATAGGTCGTCTGTTGCGAACCTTATTTCTTTTCTCAACAGAAGATTGATGCACTTTGCGAAGGATAAGGACCAGAAAATTGTACCATATGAATGTTTTGTAAGTGTCATGTCATCATTAGATAATAATCATGTGTTTCGTCTCTATACTGATACTCTTCATTCACATAGAGGACCTAATGAACTATCAATTGCACCAAGCGGTCCTAGTATTATTGAAAAAGAACCGAGCTAAAAATATTGATAACATAATACTCAGACTAGCGAAATGGCATCATCATATGATTCTTGAGTGACATTCCACAGTTCTGATACTCTGTCTAGACGCTCCTTTTGTAGTATTGACTATCAAATTAATGCTCTTCACGCCACATTGTTAACAGAATGTTGCACTGTTGATGTTTATTGATTGAGTCGGTTCCTTATGAGCGCAATGTCTCTAATGCATTGTAACATACGAGAGAAACTGGAGGAAATAGACACTTAACGTCTAGTTTCTGAATCACATGAATGAATAAAATAGAAGCATTAACACACAATAGACTACACTTATCAGTCTAAGCTGCAAAGAGTAATTTATCTGGCCTGTTGAAATTAATTAAAAAATAACTTACTTGTGCAAGGTTTCTGTTAATGAGTAAGAGTTTTCATGAAGTTGAAATATCAACGAACATATCTTGCTTCTATCCATTCAATGAATAATTCCACTTATGTCGTACGTTGTTTTTACAAGTCTTAGAATTGTCTAACTTGGTAATAAATATTTTTGAATGCTCTAATAAATTATCGAAATGATCAATGAGTTTTATCCTAAAGAAATCTTTATTTTTGAAAGAAATATACTTCAAAGCAGTTCTGATATAGTGGCAGTTGAATAGGTAGAGTATTAAACAATTTTCAGATCACAACAGGTTGAGTTGAGTCAACTAAAGATGATACGATTTTAAGACCTAATCTCTTGTATTTAATATGAATGGTATTTAAAATAGCCATCCTGCGTGTTTTTTTCTATGTTCTATACAATCCGACTGTTTACTTATTTCAATTCTGTTGATAGCTGCCAGACTTTATTTTCTTGAGATTATTTGTGGGTTTTTTTGTAAAACTTCCAGTATTCACTTCAAACCAAACCGAAACAAAAGATGAAATGAATAAGAACAAAATTCGATAAGATTTCTTCTTTTGGACTCTGAATTTCTTTCAACACGACTTAAATACATTGCATACGATTTAACTATAAGTTCTAACAAGTCATTAAATACAATTAAGTTAAAAATAAATTCTCAGTCTCAAGTGACTTCTTCGAACTACTTTGGATTATCAGTAAATAAATTTAATAATGACAAGAATGTTTCTTCAGTCACGTTCATGCGTAGTCATAATAATTATGCTGAACGTTTCTTTCAAATTTCTATCATCCTCCAAAAATAAAACCGGTCTGGCTGTTTCATGATTGGTCGATCTGAAATTCACACTGGTATCGAACTGGATCGGTCGATAATCTGTACCAGTTCCATCCCTAACACATTCATAGTTCGGTATGAAGTATTTTTCTTTATCTAGAATGTTATATTCTAGAAAAGTACTACAATAAAACTTTTTAATCATGGTTTCTATTATGTTTATATCTTTACTTATTGCTATTAAAGCATTTATCTATTTTTGATTATTTGAATCGATTTATTAGAAAAACTGTAACATTATTATTAGCATCCAGGAATATATCTAAAAGAATATTCTTGTATATTTCTGATGAGTTAAACAAAAGTCTTAAGAACAAACAAAACATTTCAACGTATCCAAAAGAACAAGGACGACCACCTAGATATATACAAGTGCGAAAAATTCACTGTTCTGTAATTGATAAGTCTTTTAAACATAATAACGTTTGCGTAAAAGATCAAAAGATGATGTAGTGTTAGTATTTGTTGGTAACAAAGGTGATGTTAATCTTGGTAAAATAGGCATTTGTTTAATTGTTTGTATACGTTGATCAGCTAAACTTGTATCAATAGCATTTTCAAGACGTTCTTTAAGTAAACGACTGTTTGAACATATTGAGCAATTTAAATTTCCATTTGATGAATGATCATATTCATCATGTTTTATTGGTGATGGTACTCGATGATAATTATGGATCGTTGTTGTTGGTGGTGGTGATGGTGGTGACGGCTTCATTCCATTAGATAATTTTGATAAGAGTAATTGTTGTCGAAATTCTTGTTCATAAAAATGACGTAATGTATCGATTTGTGAATGTAGTTGTGCATGTTGTTGTAAATTATTTGGTGGATCATAATTTGAAACTAATTTATTAAAATCATGTCGAAGACGATCAAGTTCATATTTAACACGGTCAGTATCTGAACGAATTTGTTTTGAATTTTCAGCAATAATATGTTCATATTCTTGTTGTTGTTGAACAGATTTATTTAAATCATTCTGTTGTTTTTGACGTGATACAACATCACGTAAACGTTCATTATCTTTTTCAGTTTGTATACGTTGTTCACGTTCATGTTCATAACTTCGTTGGAGTGTATCACATTTCAAACAAGGTGAAGAACTAAAACACAAAAAAATCGGAGAATTAGGTTAGTTATTATTAGAATAAATTTCAAATAAAATATTAAGTTATTTCATTTTAGTCCTTTTTTTACAAGCAAAAACAATTCAATGTTGATGTCGAATTATTCTTACGGTGAATGTTGATGTTGTTGTTGTACAGCATTGTTTAATGGTGTTGATGCAAGAATAACAAGTGGTTCATGTAAAGCACGTTGTTGTTGTTTATTTGTTATGTCTCTCTGTTCATTATGAAATCGTTGTTCAGCAGTTAATTTTTCAGATTCAATTATATTAAGACGTTGTGTAAGTGTTTCAAATTCGTTTTTAATTTCACGATCTTTTGATGCTAATAATGCTTCATTTTGTGTTTGTAAAACAAGTAAACGTGCTTCAGCATCACCTAATTTAATATTTAATTGTTCAATTTGTGTTTTATATTTTTTAGTATCATCTGTGGAACGTTGTCGTTGTTTCATTTGTTCTTGTAATTCATTTGTTAATTTTTGTTCAAGTTTTGAACGATCTACTAATATGAGACGTATTTCTTCTTGTAAATTATCATATTTTGTTTTAAAATCAATTTTTTCTTGTTCAATTAAATCTCTTTCATGTTTTAAACGATCTAATTCATGTTGTAAAAATGTTTTTTCTTCTAAAGCTTTTTCTAAATCAATTTTATAACGTATTGTTACATCAAGTGATTCTTTATGTAATTGTAAATCTGATTGTAATTGTTTTGTACGTTGATGAAGATCCTCATTTTCAGCTGATAATAATTTCATTTCTTCTCGATGTCGTAATTTTATTTTTTCAATATCTTCTTCACGTAATACACCTGCTGCTGCTGTTTGTAAACTATTTGCTTGATGAATACGTAGTTTTTCATCTAAACAAATAACAAGAATAAAGTTCAATTTTTATTCTATAGAACAATGAATCACATATTGTGTTACTTCAATTAAAAAATTACTAACCAGATGTAGTTTCACAATCTAAGAAATGATTGAACATATTGTAAATGATGAGCGGTGCTTTAAAGTATGTTGACAATCATATCTGATATGATGAATTTCTATTCAAATTTCAATCGAAATCTTATTTATGTGATGAACTATGCATATAAATCTTGACCGAGAGAAGAAACAGAACACAAAATAAAAACATGACCAACTGTTTTAACGATGAATACTGACTGCGTATATATATATGATAGATGAAATAAGTAGAAGTGGCAGCTATGCATACGATGAACTTCACTATTCTCAAGAAGTCCATAATGTATAAAACAGTAGACTGTATCACAGTTTAAAATATACTAGTGCTCTTCATTCAAGTTTAGCTTTATTATGCTTCATGGCTGTTTTTGTGATGCATATCTATCATTGAACAAAAAATCAATGGTTAATATCAAGTATACAAAATGTGAAATGTTCTTCTCTCAATGGATTCTTGAAGTCATTTTGAAGAAAATCAATCGAATCGATTTAATCAACAAAATTTACCGGTAAATAATTGTTTCATTTTATATGAAACTTTATTAAAAAAATAGTTCATATATTAAATCTCTTCTATTTCTGATTAAATTTATAAATACATCACTAAAGAGTAAATATCGAAAAATAAATAAATCCGTCAATAATCAAACGTTCGATACTAACGAGAGAAATCTTTCAAGTGAGTAATTTCTTTGGATTCAATATATCCTAATGAGCTATGAATTCCCTGAAAAACGTCCAGACCGGTAGCTTATTGTTACAAAAATATTCTATTTTTTGAGTTATAGTCGCGGCCACCTCAAGAGCACGGTGCATTGTAACCAGGTTTTTTTTTCTGCTAAGGGACCAACCAACTATTTCTGAAAGCACAAACACATAGTGCCTGAAAGAATCACAAATTTTAGGAGGGCGAACCCAATATTCGAAGATAATGCTATCTTCTCAACTGCCACACGAAATAAAACCTTGAAAACACTAGGAAAGTTCATTTTCGAATTTTGACTTGAAACATTGCACTTACATAGATCTCAACGAGAATAGTTCATTTTGAAAATGTCAAATCTTTTGATTTGCTTCTCTTCTGCAATAAGAACATCAATTCTATCAGTATATATGAGCAATGTAAACGATAAAGTCTTGTCATAGTTGTATCTCTGGACAGAAAAAATAAGGACATGTTTGGAACCAGCATGGAAAACTGCATTGAATGATGTGATTATTCTTAATTTTTAAAACAAAAATTGTTCAACAATAGTTTAGCGTCAGGACTTTCATACGTTTTCCATCGAAAATCTTCTTGTATGAATTTCATTTTTTTTCTATCAATTTTTTATTGAATAATGAAAACTAATATTTCTATGGAAAAAAATTCGTTTCTAATAGGCCAATAAGTCACGTCCATGTGCTCTATAGGAATTGCTCACTGTTCCACAGAATTGTGTTAAAAACTACCGTTAAAATGCAGTATCTCGGTAGCAATAAGCTAAGTATGAATTTTTTTCAGAATATTCATATCTCATCAGAACTTATCCGGATCTTAAATTTTTCTGTTAAACAAGTCTGAAAATGTTGAACCTAACAGGCTCTAGGTTTACGGAATTATTTTTGTAATATATAATTGGTTATAAAAAAAACTATATATTATTACCATAATTATCACGTTCTTCTTTTAATTTGATACAACGTTGATTTAATATGTCTTTTTCTTCTTCTAATGATTGAAGTTTTTGTTTAACACTTTTTAATTCCATATTTAAATTTTTTGTTGCCCATTCTAGACGTTGTTTTTCATTGATTTCTTTTTCTAATTTTGTTTCTGTTTCACGTAATAATTGATCATTTTTTTTATATAATGCTTCAAAATTATTTTTCTTTATTTCCATATCTTTTAATTGTCGTTTTAATTCAAGACTATCTTCTTGTTTACGTTCGATTTGTTTAATATCTTCTCTAAGTGAACTTAAACGGTCCTAAAACATAGAAAAAAGAAAAGATATATTCAAATATTTTTTCTCTTTTTGTTTTTACCATATTATTTTGAATCGATGATGTTGAAGAAGACATCGAACCACGTAAACTATTAAAGTCATGATGTGCCGATGTAAGCGTTGCTTGTCGTTGAGGTGATGCAATGATGTCATTCGAATATGTGTCTGTAATATGTTTAAAATCATGTCTATCATTTGTTATCGAAGGCCAATGAACTATAAAAGAAAAATCAATATTAAGAAAATTTTTTTTTCAGTTTTGAGTAGAATCCTACGAATTCAATACTATTCATTTTTGTATTTTCATTTCGGTCATGTTTTTTCCTAATTAAAACTTAGTGAATAAACTTATCTTTTGCTCATTGTTAAACATTTACTCATGTTTTTTATTGATTCATAATGCATAGTTTTTAGAAAAAAAAACTAAAGCTCTAAGTTCAGTATATGTGTAAAAGTCAAAACGATAATATAGCAATCTTTTATTGATGTTTCTTAAATTTTCTCGCAGAACTCTAGTTTTAAGTTTCGATAAAAAGAGCTTATATGTAGATAAGGTATAAATCTGTAATTCAAATATCTCTATGAAGGTTAGAAACTTGAATCGATCTTTTATTTGATCTATTATTAGCTGATATTTAATGATGTAAAATGAGAATGAAATAATTAAATTTTTAAGTGACTGAGCAAAATTTTGCTTAAAACTTTTTAAACAGATTAAAATTTTAAGTTAAATAATACAATAGTAGGAAATGACAAATAGTTTATCTCGATCGTTTATTGAAAAATTATCAGTCATCTAATTAATCGAAATATTTGTTATATGAATAGTTTTAAAAGAATAAAAATGACATCAATATCAAATGTCCAACAGGTTCTGACATCGGATACCTTTTTTTGGTCCGAGATGACTTGTACTCCGCTAGAGCCAAGACAAGTTCAATTCAAAGTGTGCGTGTGAAGTGTTTATCTTCTCATTCTTCACGCCCTCACAACATCATGAAGAATATTGTTCAAAAACACACACTAAACTTTTTTAAAAATGTTATTGTCATTTTTTTCCCAGCAAAATAATTGGAGATTTTATCATCGCACAGAACTTCCATGTTAGCCTTATAATAAAAATGTCATAGTAAGTCAAAGGGATTTTTCTTTTTATTTTTTGTAAAGAGTTCGACAGTGCATGTAATAAAAAAATAATCGAGATTATATGATTTATGCGTGATCAGATATTTGAAAAATACTGAATTTTGCAATCTTTTTGTCTCTCTCGATAGCACTTTTTTTAATCAATTAAAATCAGACTATTGATCTCTTTTTTTGACATGAAAAACCTTCTTTGAAAAAAATAAATAAAATTCGGATCGATTGCCTTATTTTAAGGCTTGACATGTAAAACAAAAGATTTTCATTATGTAGACTCGTAAATTATCTGTTCGATATATACTTTGATCGATCAAGCAAGTAATAGCTTATAATAAATCGCAAATACATGATCGAGATACGCACTTCTTAATGTTTACTATGATATTATCGATAGAAAATTTATTGATGATTTTATGAGTCTGAAAAAATTTTTCTATTTAATTTCGAAATGTTGATTATCATATCTTCGTATGTCATCCGAAGATATATTATTTAACGTATTGATTTGAACACCGAATCCTCGTATTATGAATCGATGCTGTTACCTATTTCAAATTGTAACATGCTCCACTTTTTATTAAATAAATTTTGATAGGAACATCATAGAAGCCTGTAGTTGTCATCATTCAAAAGATAAGACTCGAGGACATCGAAATTGAATGCGTTCAAACAGATGAGCCTTTAATGAGAATTTTCGACAATGGATATTCTGCAGCTATTTTCCTTTTGATTTAGACTTTTACTAGACTTAATCAATAGAAAAAATTCTTTTCTTTTGATCTATGCAAGGTCAGGATCCTAATATATTTCGTTCGAAAGTTATAAAACTTGTCTCGACATCCTTCTTCGATTTCAGATAAATCACCATGTTGTGTCGAATGGTGATATCTGTTTCTACGTTGGGGCTGATTTAACACTGATATCCCAATATTTTCGAAATATCGTTTCCTTTGTCACTTGGAGGCTGATTTTGGAATTCTAGAAACATTGAGATAACAGTTTCAGAGCATATCGATCCTAAATACAAATAACACCATTCGATTCACCATGTTGAATCACCTTTGCATAGCTGCTTTTCTTGGTGATCACAGTGTAAGTGACTGATATCTAGAGTCTCATGGAAAGTCTTGTACATCGCAGGTGGAACAAGCTAGAAATATCCATCTTTAGTGGATCGAAAGAGAAGAGTTTTTTTGTATCAGTTAGTTCTATTCAAAATCAAAATTGAAAGGAAAATATCTTCAGAATATCATTTTCAAAAGTCACCGTCAAGAACTCATCTGATTGAACCAATCATATTTCGGTGTCCCCGAGTGTTCTTTCTTGCATGATGAAAACCGTAGATCTCTACAATGTTCCTATCAAAAGTTATTCAAAAAAAATAATGTAGTACATTGTATTTTGAAATAGATAATTGTCAAAATGCTAAGGTACAAAACTTCAAGAACACTTTTATGAACTTACATTTATCGACGTCATCATGATATAATTGTTGTTTTGAATGGGGATCCGTAGGAATAGCAATTGCTAATCTCTGTACTGCATCATCAACGAATGAACTAGTATTTGAAGATATTGAATCATTGCGATGAACCATTGATGAACTAATCAATGTACCACTTGTTTTATATGGTGTTGATCTTTAAAAAGAAAAAGAACAAATATTATTTTGAAAAAAAATTTTAATTCATATTTTTTAATCTTTACTGATTTTGATTCATTGGTCGTGAATTCTGAATATCATTAATAATTTTTAATAAATTCTCAACTCCTGTTGATTTTGTTTCAATCGATCCTGTTGGTCGCATACTTGTTTGAACTAAACTTGCTAAAACTTCATTTTTCATCGGTGCTTTAACAATTGTTGCCGATTTTACATCTTGCTCTGTATCATTATCACTTGAATCGCTTGTTACACGAGTTCTTGCTTTAATTGAATTACGTGCTAAATCGGCACTCAATGGACGTGAATCATCCCATGTTGATTCACTTGTTTTTTTACTTAGTAATGGATTGTTTTGAAATAAAGCATTAATACCTGTTGTTGAGTCTTTTTTAGCTCCTATAGATGATGCTGTATATAAATAATCTTCACTTATTGGTGATTGTACATTTGAAATAGGTGTTAGTTGAGAAGTTTTTAAATTATTTGCAATTTGTTGATTAACTAAATTTTGAATACCAAAGGATGGCTTTTGTGTATTGTGTGCTCGAACAGCAGCTTCAATTGAGTCATCTTCAGTATCACTACTATTGATTTTCTCATTTGAATGTGTTATTGCAAATCCTTTTGTATTATTTAATGTTGAAAGTTTAGGAGGACTTGTTGATGCTATTATTGGTCTATAAGAACTCTTAATATGATGACCATCATCATCCGATTGTGATGATGATGTATCATCTGATGTATCAATTCTTTTTGCTTGTGTTACACTGGGTTCTTGTTTATGCATCGATGATTTACCATATGTCCAGGAAATTGAATTTGAATCGATTGATTCGGGTTGTGGTAATGCATGAACCAATGAATTAATTGTTACATTCTTTTTTGGTGATGCTATTTGTTCACCAGCAAGATTTTTATATATAGGTGTTTTTTCAGTTGATGTACTTGTTGATGTATTATCTACATCTCCATGTTGAAATGCAGCCGGTCCAGTACCAAATATTGATGGTGGTTGTTTTTGTGGAGCTGAGAAAATCGAAATTCAAAAATGAAAGACAAAAAAAAAGAAAAGAAAAGAAGCACTTACGTATAACAGGTTTATTCGTCGATTTTTCATCCGGTTGTAATGGAATGCTATGCACGAGACTTGATAATGTTTGATTACTTGGTTTTGATATATGTGTTCGTGATTCGTCAGCTTTTAATGGTATACTATTAATAAGACTTGATAGTGCTTGATTGTTTGGTTTTAATCCATTTGTTCTAGGTAAATCAGCTTGTAATGGATTGGTTTTAATAAGATCAGCTACAGAATGAGTTTCTTGTTTATTTTGATTTAGTGAAGGTGTTGTTCGATTTAACCATTGATTTGATGATCGTGGGATTTGTCTTGCTGAAGATCTTGAAAATTGATTTGTTTCACTTGATGTAGTATGTTCACTTTCATCATCATCATCATCATCATCATGAAAATGTCCTGCTGGATTTCTTATAACAGGATTAATTTCATGTTCATTTATTGAACCGGATATATTTTGTCGTGGTGAAAGTCTTGTCCAACCTTGTTGATATTCATCAATTAATTTTGCACATTCATCATGATGATTTTCTTTAGCTAATTGATATGCAGTTAATTGTCGTGCATCGAGTAATGTTGGATCACATGGTTCAGAAAGATTTGATTGAAGTATAACTTGAATGATGTCTGCATAGCCAAGACTAGCTGCCATATGTAATGGTGTTTGTCCATTCCTATTTGGTAAATTCGGATCAGCTTGTTGTTCATGTCTATCAGATAAAAGTATATCAACTATATTAGGACTATTTCTTTTAACAGCTAAATGTAATGGTGTCATTTGATCACGATCTCGAAAATTTGGATCACAATTTTGAAATGATACAAAAAGATCAACAAGTTCTTCATTACCATATTCAATTGAATAATGTAATGCATTTTTTCCATTGATATCCACAGCATTAATAACTATAGAAACAAAAAAAAACAGAAAATATCATTTAATGAAAATAATAATGAATTCTTACAAGCATCAGCTCCTCCTTGTAATAAAACTACACATATTTGATAATATAATGGTTGATTGCGATTACCACTAAGAACAGCTTTAACTAAAGGTGTTCGTTGCTCTTTATCAACAATATTTAATCTTGCACCTTCATGAACAAGACGTTGTACTATACTTAAATGTCCTCTGACAACAGCCAAATGCAATGGAGTCTATATAGACAAACAACAAAATTAATAACTTGTACGATATGTCAAGAAAAAAAATGAAATTAAATTTACTCGAGCTTGTTGATCTTGCAAATCAATTTGATCTGGTCGAGCAAAACGCTCTACTTTATGTAGATCTCCTTCCCATGATGCTTTATGTAATTTATTTTTGTCAAGTTCTTTTGGGTTAATATGATATGATTCAACACTTTCAAGTGATACTGCAGCACGCATATTCGATGATGTGCCAGTTCGTTGACCACCTTCGTTGACTGATGTATGTGAACCACGTAATGATGAACGTTTTGATGAACCACTACCACTGAAAAATCGTGAAAAAATATTTGGCATTTTGTTATTTTCTTTGTCGAATTTGCGTATGTTGTTTTTTTAAGACATCTAAAACAAGTAATGGAATAAGTGAGCAACACAAACGAAAAATGAATCGATGTATACCGATCAAATAAAAAAAAATGGAATGAAGAATGAAAACACAAGAGGAAAAAATTTGAAATATGTTTAATTCTTCTCTAGTTACTTTGTGTAAATTAAAAGAATAACAACGTCACGCGCCCTAGGTCTATTTGATTAATCAACGAAACTTACGTAGATGTGCGCATAAGAATCACTTACTGATTTTCGTCTTTGTTTCACACGTCTATTTGTCCAATAATTCATTCTAACTGGAAATCTTGATTTAAACACATATATACAAATTCTCTTTTTTTTCAATTGGTGACCTTCTCTCAATTTTTTTTCTTTCTCTATCAGATTAAAATCGTGTGAGTGACGCAGCTGCACAACGGTTGCTCATGACAATCTTACAGAAAAGAGAACAAAAAAAAAACAAGAAAGAAAAGGTAAGAGTGTGAGAACTCTTTTTACCTTTATCTTAGGGTATTGTATATATGTGAACTTCTTTCTTTTTCATTCTGGCATGTTTGTCATTGCTAGAGGACAAACAGCATGATGAATCCATCATCATCTTCATCGATGGCGCCATTATTCTCTGATTATCAACAACGAAGTACCAATTTACGTTCAAAAATCTTAAAAAATGAAGAACAACGTATGCAACTTGAACAAAAATTACGTGTAATGTCAAATAATAATTCACGTTCATATAAAAGCAAACAAATTCAACATATACAAACTTATTTTACACGTCTTAATCAAGAATCTCAACGAGCTGAACAACGTAATTTACAATTACTTAATAATTTAACACAAGCTCAACAACATTTAGATAAATTACATTTTGATGCTGAAAATTTAGTACGTTTAAAAAATGATTATTTAAATTATTTAGAATCACATTATCCAAATTGGCAAAAACCAACATTAACTCGAACAAGTACTAATATTAATAGTAGTAATGAATATGATCGTTTAGGTCAACATATGAAACAACATGATCCATTAGAAAGTGATGGAAATCTGCGACAAAGTGGTAAATAATAAAATATAATTATTTCTATACGAAAATCAAATCTTTGTCTTGTTTTGCTTTTAGCACCCGTGGTTCGTCAATCTTATGATGTTGAATCCTCAATGTTATTTAAACGTTATGAAGATCAACTTAAAGTTGGTTTGGAACGTACAACATCTCCATCAACACCAATTTTAAATAATGAAATTAAAGATCAACAACAACAACAACAAGATGAACAATCAGTAACAGAATCAAATGAAATAGCTAATCCATTTTCACGTATAAAACGTAATGGTTCACTTCGAATGGAATTAACACGTACTGGTCTTTATTTTTTACTTGATTATATTGAAAATGAATTCAAAGATACAATAGATAAAAAAAAATTTTATCGTTTTGATCCACCAACAATAACACAAAAACGAACTATTATTGATATAGGTAATGATGAACAAAAATATTCATTAAAAGATATTGATCCAACAACAACATCAATGGTTATACTTGATCAATTACCATCAACAATACGTCGTACAACAATAAATAAATGTTTATTAACCGATGATATACTTTCATCAAATATAAAAGATTTAGATAAAGATATTATATCACAAATGTTACCTGAACAAGATCGTTCATTATGGTTAAGATTAATTGAACATTTTTCACAATTATTAAAATTACATATTATGAATTCACAAATATTAACTAATAAATTTGCAATAGCATTATTACCAACAAATGCTATTTATGCTCATGATAAAGCTAAAAGTCTTTTAAAACATGTTATTGAAAAATATGTTGGTACACACTCATCAAGTTCAGATGATGAAACATCAATTGATAGAAAACAACAACAACAACAACCTGTACAACAGATTATTCAAACAAATACAGCATCATCATCATCATCTGTATGGTTAAAAAAATTAGTAAAAGGTTCTATGTTGGATGATGATGATGAATCAACAACATCATCATCAATAACAAAAAAAAATAATCAATTATCGAGTTCAACAGCAACAACTGCAAAAGCAAAATTTCATAAAAATGATGATGATGATGGTGAATTTTTCGATTAGTTATGTAGTTCATATAATCCTTTTTTTTTTATATTTTTTAAACGGCGTATCTTATATTTAGAATTTCGGTAGATTGTTTTTCTTTTTTGTGACAAAAATTATAATCTAGGTGTTATTTTATCGACGAAATAAATTTTTTTTTATATTTTTTATTTGCTTACATATAAAGTAATCGAATATGTAAGGTTTCATTTATTTGTAGTATTTTTCTTATAAACACAACGACTTTTTCGATTGAATATGCTTCTATCAACGACAGAATCGAAATTCAAAAAGCAACCAATGCAAATAAATTCTTGGGCTCTGTTTTGAGTTCATAAATAGAATAAAATAAACAAGCACTGTTCGTTTTTCGATTTATGAGATTGAATATTTATAATCAATTATTATTATTATTTATCGAGGGTGTGTTATTGACAGTTCGAATCAATATAAGTTTTATATTTACTTCTTTTAATCTATGATAATTTGAATATCGTGCTATTGTATTACAAATCATTATATAAATTGAGCCTATTGCAATACTTGACATACACTTATAACTCATGACATAACCAGGGTGAACGCTGAGCTTCTTTTCCTCCACTGACTGAAGCCATTGCACTAAAATAACATGTGTCGCATTTATCTGTCGCTAGTTATAGTGTCGTAGTCTATCTTTTAGTTATTGATTCATGATTTTAGTTTGTGCACACTACACTGCATTCAATAGAACTTACCTATTTTCATATGTCTTTCCTTGTCTGGACTATTTCTCGATTAGTTATAGGTATCACTAATTCTAATTAAACTAGCTAGTAATGATTTGCGAATGTCTAGAAAAACATGGCAGATGTCCTGAAGATTGATTGAATTTGAATCAGAGCTGTCAGTAGACTAAATCAAGTCGATTGATGTTTCTGATTTTACGAATACGTTTAATCCTAGAACACTGCATTAATATATCACTCTAGTTTCAGTTCTTCACTTAATTTATTATCATAAAAAATCCGATAATATAAAAATTTCTCATACAAGAAAGGCTTAAATTAACACAATCCTTTTAAGCATATTAGTTCTGTTTCACGAAATCGAAAAAATGCAACTATAATAGCACAAACTATATTTGATGAGGTCTACAAGAAAGAGTTTAAAAACAATTCACAACAAAAATATCAGAAATCAACGATACTTATAGTAACAGACAAGGAAATATCAATTTGACAATCAATTTTCGCAGCACAGCATAAACTCAAAATTTACCATCCAATTGTTTTGTACTAAACAAGTTCTTCTGTTAATCGATGTATGTCAATGCGTCTCTATTTGATTTCGAAAATATAAGAGCGAGGTAGACTTTATCGGTTTGGTCTCAAACTCGACCGCTTGTGAATCCCAAAATTTTGAATCCGACGAGTTCTAGAGTCAGACCAACAACTTTGGTCTGACAGACGCCTTTTCAGTCGGCAGTTCTGATTTGAACCACGTGTTTTCAGTACTCTATATTTTATTTTAGTATGCACGATAGTTAAATTCAGCTAGAAAACTCAGTCATTTAAGCTTCTCTTCCCTTACTGAAGAGCCCTGTCGTCTTATGTCATTACTCATAAAGACTAAAAACAAATATTACTTATGATCATTTCGGAGTAGTGTAAGTTTTTATTTTATTTAGTTTCCAATACAATTTTCTTCAACATTTTAATTGTGAATAGTAATTGACGACATCTATGTACAAAACAATAGATTGCTTCATTATCTAACAAATAGAATAAAACAGAACAGAAAAAATAAAGAGTTCTTTCGATCGATTAGAAAAAAAAGATTTTCATCGTACAACAATGACTAAGTAAAGATAACGACATAAGAGTTGATCACCTTACATTAAATTTGTAAGTACTGTTTTTAAGAAAAATTTTTTTTTCTTACATATTAAATCGACAAAATATAGAAAATACGAAGAAGTAATTTCTTATTGCGATTCTACAATTTTTTTAATTATAGATGCATTAAGGAAAGCGTGTTCATTAAAAACATATAATATTCTTTTCCATTTTCTTTCTTTTAATTTGAATAGTGAGAATTATTTAAGTAGTTTTTCAAACTTATAGCTAATTCTTAATAATCATCATTCGCAATGTTTATCTCATTCAACTTGACTGATTTTCATTAATTATGATGAATTTCACTGGTTGTTTTTCTTGGTTGGTCAACTGTATGCACTTGTAATTTTTCTCGAACAATCATACAGTCAAAACATCATTAGTTGTTCCTTAGCTAGTTATCCTTTATATTATTAATCGTTCTCATGAGAATGCATTTAAGAATAAATTCACATTTCTCATGACATTTGAAACTAATAAAGAATTATGAATGTGAGTAAAATAGATACATTTTATTTTGTTAGTATCTATGAAATTGAATACAATATTAAATAAAAATCAAATAAAGCATTTCAATTATAAGAAATGATTTTTGTAAAATTGAATGTATTATATATATTATAGAAAAAAAAAACAGTTTTTATTAGAAAAATAAAATTCATCACAATATAAAATCATTTATTTGAATTCTATTCAAATTAAAAAAATCTCGATCAATTTCAAGTCTGTTTCAGATACTTCTATTTTCATTTCTATAGTCAAATATTTGTAATAGATATTATACTGTAATGATATCAAACATCTAAGAAAAAATTCAATTTTATTTTTAATTTAAATATTTATATCATTCTATTACATCAAATTAAAAAGAAAAAAAAAATTATGTTAGATTTTATCATTATAATTATATGTATATTTCGATAAATAATATCGATAAATAATATCTAGAAGAAAAAAATATGCGTTATAGCCAGTGTG